AACCACTATGTTATTGTGCCTGAAATTACACCATGAAGGTTTTTCCCTCGAGGGTGCTTTAAAAGAGTGTATGCTGCTGGACAGAAACTGTGAATTCATTGACACTGAGGTGTAATTGATTTGCTGATTTAAACTTCTTGCACATCTCTGGATTCATTTAAGATTTCAAGGGGTTACTTTAAATGCACTTGAATTTTTCCTAAACGGGATAAAAATCAGCTCCGCGACCCACCAAATTATACATCGAGGAACCAATTTTTGCTCTTTTTCAAGTTTAGAGATAAACACTTTTCCTTGTTTTCAGAATAATTTTATTTTTGCTGTTGACGTTGGCTTTTTTCACGTTCCTCATACAGAAAAAGTTTTAGACCCACACTTGGCTAATTAAATTTTAATTAATTTAAATTAAACACAATTAAAAATTTAATTTCTTCATGGATCAAGCCTTATTTCAATTTCTGAATAGCTGTATGTTCCCAGCAGTTACACACTAGAGAGGATGGATAAGAGAAGAATTCCTCATTCCGGAATGTTCTATTAGGCGACTGTGAAGCAAACCTCAAACCGTTACTGTCCTCTTCATAGCATTGGTGTTGAGTTGAAATGGCCACTGGAACATATTCTATGTGAGATGTCCCCAAGAGCACAAAGCCCCTGCCCAGGGGGACCATAGAGGCACAGATATAAGAATGTCCACTGAGGCATTATTTGTCCACTGGCCAACAAACATGTCTACCCACAGAAAACTGGATAATAAAATGTGAGATTCAGGTCCATAATCTCTTCCCTTTCCCCTGAAATTAAAAAAATCTCTGATGACCAAAGGGCTGTGCTTGGGGCAGTGGTGTTTGTGTTTTTATCCCAAAGCTCATTAGGCAGCAAAACCTGAGTTACATTGGCATGAGGCTCTTGTTTTATTTGTACCACTGAGTGTAAATTCCTGAATGACTTGCTGCCCCCTCATTACAGCGATTGATTATTCAGTGCTGCCCCGGACCTCCACTGGTGCCTGATGGCGTGGTTGGTAAATGTGTTTCTCGTAAACTCCCAGCAACTTTTAAATCCTGAACTTTAGCTGAACCCACAGGGTTTGGAAAACGGATGGTGGGTCTATATTCATCAACAGCCACCCAGGAATAAATCAGATGTGCACCTGTAAACATGAGGACATAAAGTAGATTAGAGAAGGAAAAATGCAGAATAAAATAGCATTCTTTGGCCAAGGCACTGTCTCCCTGCAGCATCCCTGCGGCTGGTGGACACACAGGTGTGTGACACAAGCATGGTATAAGGGAGTGGTCCCATGTGGGCATCCACCACGGGAGGATGACTCCCACCAGGGCAGGTTGTGCACAGGGCCAGATGAGGGCCAGGTAAGCCTGGGGGGGTGGTCACCTTAGTCCCATCAGCCCAGTTCTGTGCACCTGTGGTGTGAGACTCAGTATGCAAACAAACTACAAGAAAGGGTCTTAAGTAGCCACTTACTGCTGACCCAAAGGACCCCCAAGCTCCTCCACCTTCTACTTGACAAAATAAGAGCTCCCCCCTGCTCCTCGTGGAGTGAATCCTGAACTTCAGAAGGAGGACTTTGGGTGTCCCCAGGACCCCCATCCACTCATGACCAGGTCCAGCCACACTGCAGACAGGACATGATCATGGAAGGCCTCACCCCACTCATGCTTCTTCCCTATGAACAAAAGACCACCCTGTGGTGTCCTCTGCTTTATCTACAACTGAAGACCTACAAGATAAACCAGCCTGGTGCCTTCTCCCCACCACCCAGCTCCCCTGTGTCTCTTGCTGATGGGTTGTGCTCGTCAGGGCTGCAAGAATCTGTGCAGATCAGTGCAGCCAGGATAGGTGGGTTGTGTGCTGGGTGACAACTTGAGCTCCCTGCATCTGCCAGGGGGAATTCTTCATGACCAACAGGAACATGCCTCATAGCATACAGCAGTGGTTTCCTGTAGCCTCTGGACCCACAGTCTCCATGGGGACCTGTCCAGTGCATCATCTCGGGTCCCAATCTCACCACATTGGAAACCGGGCGACCCCAGCAGTTTTTGTTCCTCAAAGTTTCCAGGTGGTTCTGATGTTAAAAACCACTGACTATGATGTCAACAATCAAAATAAACATCAACAGCACGCAATGTCACCTGTGGGTTGCTCTTTACACTGGCAGCTGTAGGTGGGCCTAAAGAAGGTGTCCACTGCCCGGGGGTTGGAGTAGGCCCTCAGATGATCTCTGCAATCCAGGATCTCTGTCACTCCCATCAGGGCTCTCCTCCTGCCTCGGTGTGTGAGAGGTGAGTTCAGGTATTGATTAAATTAAAATGGGCAGCGCACCAGCCAGGGCATTTGCAGGCAAGTCACTAAGCAGGTGTCTGGCTAATGTTCATCCATTCCAAATGGATTCGCCCCTCACTTATCACCTGGAGGGAAGGAGCCCAGCTAATGAGCAACATTCCAAAAAAAAAAAAATGAAGGAGAACAAAGCAAATTTTTTGCAGGGTTAATAACAGTCCTGAAAACCAGAGGGTCAA